TTTTAAGCGTTCTAATTGTCGAACTCTATCGGATAATTGGGCCATATCCCTTAAATATTGGGTGTCCAACTTCTTTCGAATTGAATAGTCAAGGCCACCAGCGGCCATTTCGACCAACTCATGTTCTGGAACTTGTGTAAAACACCTAGCTTTGAGAAGTCAAAATCGGTTCAAATACTCCTCGATAGGCTCAGTAACCTTTCGTTTTACACTAGGCAATTCTTTTAAACTTATTTTCGTTTTTCCCATGTAAAACTGTTTATGGAATAGACGCTCTAATTGGGTCCAGTCATGTATCGTGTTGGGAGGTAACGTGGTGAACCAAGTGAAAGCGTTTTTAGTCAAAGAACTGGTGAAATATTTTACCCTAAGACTCTCATCATTAGCAATTTTCCCGGCTTCAATCAGATATCTGGCCACGTGTTCGACATTAGCCTCAGTAGAGTCTCCTGAGAACCTAGTGAATTTAGGGACTTTAGTCCTCGGAGGTAACTCCGACTGGAGTATATATTCTACCAAAGGCGACGTTAGTTTGGCCTTCGCAAGCCAAGATTTACTCCATTTCGTGCCATAATCCTTTCGACCATGGCAGCTAAGTTATTATCTGCGGCTGCATTATTACGCCGGATTTGTTGTACGACATTATCCACATTTTGGTTTCTGTTAACCATCACTACCCTTGGAGGTTCCTCTCTGGGACCTTGGAATTGATTTCTAGGATGTTCGACTATCCCATGATTAACATTATTTTCCTGGGGCACGTTCCTTGGGTGTTGTTGGGCTTGGTTAATAGTGAGGTCCTCTTCGAAGGCTAAACCCTGGTTTTCCCTCACATGTTCCCTTTGCGGGTGTCGAGAAGGATTTGATACCCCAAAGAAATCAACTAAACGCGTCATTTATGCTGCCAGTTGTTGGTTTGTTAGAGTAGTATTTTGGATAAGGGGCTAAAATATTCCTCCCATAGTTTGGGACATCATTTGTACCATTTGGTAGTTACTTTCATCCATTTGTTGCCTCAAATAAGAGGCAGAACCAACTGTTAGGTTCTGTGTTGGGACAGAGTATCCTATGTTTTGGTTGTTTCGACCCACGTTCATTCCAAATGCTGACCCCTGTAATGGCGAAGTTATCACTTGTTCTACATGTGCAGGAGGGGCGTTGTGGAAGCTTTCCATTACTGATGTTGGTATACCATATGGTGGGTCTCGCAGCAAATGCATCGAAAACCCTGGTGGGGGAATATTCCTATACGTGAAAGTTCCTACTGGAGGTGGGGTACATGGAAGGCCTCTTGGCCTAATGTAAGTTAAAATTGGTTGCGTAGGAGTAACCGAATGCGTAGGCATCGAAGTCCCCGTAGTCGAAACCGCTTCAAAAATAGGAAAAGAACCTGCCTGCCTCTCTGTCGAAGATGGCACGGGAGGCTCCGTTACCACTGTATGGATCCTGAGGAGCGTTTGGCTGATTTGTATTCGACGTCATTCTCCTAGTATATCCTTTATTAGTTTGAGTTTCGTTATTAGTGGTTATCTTACAACATCAAACTTCAAAGGTTTCTGCCTGTCGAATTGTCCGTCTTCTGGTCGAAATCCCCGCAGCATTACCATAGTGGAAAATACTGTCTTAACTTAAAAACCTAACGTTTCCACCTGGGCGTCGAAATTCAAGGCTAACACACATGTACTTTTCTTTAGGAATAAGAGTTAACAACATTTACATTTTCGTCAATGAACCTCTCTTGCTTGCATTGTACGTAACTCTAGCTTTATACATTTGGTTAACATTGGTGAGGTTTTCTTGATCTTTGTCTTTCAAGACAGAAACTATGTACCGTGGAGCCATGTTGTACTTCGTCATGTCATTCACAAACTGTCTCTCATGATCTTTTAGACGACCCAATATGTCATGACCATCTAAGTCCTCAGATAGTTTATGATTGTGAAACTCACACCTAACCATCACCTTCCAACCAATACCACTTGGCGAAGATCTCAACCTAAAAGAACATTTCACTTTCATACTATAAATGCCATCTGAAGATTTACTACTTTCAAATGTATTTTTCCTTTTATAATTTTCTCCTCTCTCACAATCCATAATCAATTTATCCTTATAACCCTGCTGACCATTTGCAATATCAAAACGAACAGTCACAACTATAATACCATATTGCTTGCCAATATGTTGTGTCCAACTAATACTTCAGTTCGGCTCTCAAATATCTGTCTTTACATTACATAAAAAATATAATATTAATATCATATAACGCAACAAAAATATTAAATTTTAACTAGTTAAATAGAAAACACACTTTGTCTGTGGTGAATAACTGTGTGCAATCGCTACAGAAATCCGTAGATGACTCTGTCGGTTCCGGACCGCACAAAGCAAACATATTTGAACTTCCAGCTTTGTTACCGAAAATTTCAATTGTAGGCGTATCGGAAATTTTTAAATTTCCAAAAAATTTTGCTAGTACCAGAAATTTTTAAAATTTTCGTATTGATGTCAAAATATTTATGATATTCACGAGATATTTTTAAATTTCTGATATAAAATATTAAATTTTTACAAACTTCCCATAATATATACCAAATTTTCTAAAATTTCCAGGATAAATACAAAACTTTTCAAAATTTACACAATGCATACCGAAAATACGAGGGGTGCCAGGAACGAAATGGGGTGATAGATTAAATTCTCTTAACGTTTGCCTACTTCCAATTCCGAAGGCCCTCTTACATATGAAAATTGATGATTTGAGACTGTACCAATAATGGGTTCTTCACATAAACACGAAAAGTTTATTCATTTATGAATCACTCTGGTGTCCATGACCAACACCTTCATCTACCCTTTAATCCTCAATTCGTATACCAACCTCCTTTCCATTCAACACGGTACAATGCTTCATGCTCATCTTCCAAGCTGATACATTTGTTCGAACTGCACTTGTTGATTTTGATTTGTATTCAAAGTGTTCCATTATTGAATCTGCATGAAAGATGTTTGATGAAATGCCACAAAGAAGTGTTGTCTCGTGGAATGTCAGTTTTTTCTGCTTACTGTCACGAGTCTTTGATGAAGAAGACATTGAACCTCTTACAAGAGATGTTGGTTCTTGGTTTTGAACCGAGTTTGTCACATTTGTTTCAATTTTATCGGGCTATTCTTCCAATTTGAATTTTTGAGTTTCTCTGGCAGGGTATGTCAATACATTGCTTTGTTGTGAAACTTAACTTTGTGTACTTTGAAGTTTCTCTGGATAACTCATTGACAGGTTTGCTCAGTTTGGATAAATGCATGAAGCAAGGAAAGTTTTTGACTTTTTCGATGAAAATTCCCTTAGCTATCATGGGGGTTGTATGAAGGTTGGCAGTATTGTGGAAGTGTAAGTTATTTGATCAAATGGAGCATCAAAACATTGGCGTCGACTTTGTTGTGTTTCTGACTTTGTTGTGTTTCTGAATTTATTTATGTTTGCCTACGATCCTAAGAGCTTTTGTTAGCTTCATCAGTTCACTCTGCTGTATTCGTTTGGGGGTGGGATGAAGAGGATTCCCTTGGAAACTTGCTTATAATTATGTATGCAAACTGTGGTAACCTTACATTACTAGAAGGACATTTGATCCAAAAATAGGAAAGAGTGTTTTTGTCATGGGCGTTGAGGATTGCAGGATATGCCTGTTTAGGTCATCCAGAAGAAGCATTGAGTCTTTTTAGAAGGATGGTAAGAACGGAAATTAAACCAATGGAGCTACCCTTGCAACTATTTTTTCAGCTTGTGCTGATTTGGTTGGGATCACTCAGCATTGGACAAGAGATTGAACAAGATGTTTTTGAAAACCAATTTAAATTGGACCAACGAGTTCAAACGTCTCTAATACACATGTACTATAAATGTGGGAGTACTAACAAATCAAGAGAAGTATTTGGAAGGGTCAAAAATAAAGATTTGATTCTCTAGACTTTATGATAAATAGTTATGTCATCCATGGGATGAGGAATGAAGCTATTAGCCTCTTTGAAAAAATGACAAATTCTGGGGGGATAAAACCAGATGCCATTGTTTACACTAGTTTTTTGATTTCTTGTAGCCATTCAGAATTTTGATAGACGATGGACTAAAGTACTTCAAAAGTATGCAAACAGATTTTGGAATAACTGCTTGTCTAGAACATTGTACTTGTTGATTAGATCTCTTGGCCGAGTTGGGCAACTTGATCTAGCTTTAGATACAATTCAGGCAATGCCACCAAAAGTCCAAGCCGAAGCTTTGGGTCCATGCTTAGTGCTTGCAGGATCCATGACATGCAACTGCCAATTGATTAGATGTTAGTCCATGAAGTTTTGCAAGTTATGTATTAATGGCTAATTTGTACAAATCTGTAAGCAACGAGGGAAATACAATGCAAAACATGATAGATGGTAATGGAATGGTTAAAGAATGTGTCTCAAGGCAGGTTCAGGTCAGTGGTTAATTTCATACTTTTGTAAATATTATAACAAAAATTATAATTATTTCTAAAAAAAATTTAAAATATTTAACTTGTTTTTAAAATGAATATTTTAATAGTAGTTCACTTGCCAACACTTCTGATTGGTAATACCAACATGCTAGTTTTATATGCACGGATTTGTAACCATTCTTAGATTACACGTTAACCTAAGGAATCATGTCAACAAAATGCAAAACTCTTAGTAATTTAATCCAATAATTGATCCCAAAATCGTATCTTTTTAATCCACCAGGTCCAATCTATTGACAAAAGGGTGGTTCAGATGTTATCATCTGAATAATTTTTTGTTTTTGTTTGATCGAGTGTCTTGACTTTTCAATATAATCTGGTCTGTGAAATTAATAAAATAAGTTAAGTTCACATTTAGCAATAACTCATGCCCCAGTATTTAAATGGATGCTTGTTATGTATTATTACCATATAATTATCAAATCAAAATAAAGTCAAACATATAGCATAAACATCTTGCTGTTCCACCAAATGAAGCCTTTTTCTCTCTTGACACCTATACTTTTGTACCTTCATCTTCTTTTTGTGTTTACTTCAAATTTAATGTGGTTTGGTCCAAACAAAGTTTTGGCAGTGACATTAGGAAACCAAACAGATCATTTGGCATTGCTCAAATTCAAAGAATCAATATCTAGTTATCCATATGGATCTCTTGAGTCTTGGAATACTTCCATTCACTTCTGTAAGTGGTATGGAATCACATGCAGCCCCTTGCATCAAAGAGTTATAAAGTTGAACTTAACAGGAAATCAGTTACATGGATCCTTGTCTCCCCATGTTGGCAATCTTTCTTTTCTGATATATCTCAACCTTAACAACAACAGCTTCTTTGGAGAAATATCACAGGAGTTGGGTCAGTTGCTACAATTGCAACAACTTCATCTTGCCGATAACTCCTTTACGGGTGAATTTCCTAAAAACTTGACATATTGTTCCAATCTCAATGGCTTGTTTTTGGCAGGGAACAGTTTGATTGGCAAAATACCAATTGAAATCGGCTCTTTGAAAAAGCTTCAAACGTTCAACTTTTGGAAAAACAATTTAACTGGAGGAATCCCTTCAAGCATAGGGAATCTTTCATTCTTAACCATCTTAGTATTTGACTATAACAACTTAGAGGGAGATATTCCACAAGACATATGCGCCTTCAAAAACTTGACAATTTTAACTGGCGCTGTGAACAATTTGTCAGGTATGGTTCCTTCTTGTCTTTACAATATGTCATCACTTACTGCGCTCGTAACAACAAAGAATTTCATTTATGGTTCTCTTCCATCCAACATGTTCCTCACCCTTTCCAAGCTCGAACATTTTCTAATAGGAGGGAATCAATTCTTTGGCCCAATTCCAACTTCAATTATAAATGCATCTTCCTTTGTAGAATTTGATATCAGTCAAAATCAGTTTGTCGGACAAGTTCCAAATCTAGAAAGGCTAAAAGATCTGCAATATTTGAATTTGGAATACAACCATTTAGGTGGTAATTCAACTAATGATATGGAATTCTTACATTCTTTGGCAAACTGTACTAAGTTGTATATGTTTTCTATATTCCATAATAATTTTCACGGCATTCTCCCAAGTGCCATAGGAAATTTATCCATTGAACTCAATGAACTATATCTTGGGTTCAACAAGATATCAGGACAAATTCCTGCAAAATTAGGACATCTAACTGGTTTAACTCTCTTGGGCTTGCAATTCAACTACTTTGAAGGAATGGTTCCCACTACTTTTGGGAAATTCCAAAAGATGCAACGATTACAATTGTGGATAGAAACATGCTATTAGGAAATATACCACCCTTTATAGGCAATCTTAGTCAATTGTATTATTTGGATTTACATCTTAACATGTTTGATGGAAATATTCCTCCAAATATAGGGAACTGCCAACAATTACAATATCTAGAACTTTCGCACAATAAGCTTAGAGGAACCATACCTTTAGAGGTTTTTAACCTTTCTTCTTTATCAAACTCATTGGACTTGTCACATAACTATTTGAGTGGTAGCTTACCAAGAGAAGTGAGGATGTTAAAAAATACTGATATGCTAGATGTCTCTGAGAATCATTTATCTAGTGTTATTCCTACAACAATTGGTGAATGCATAGGCTTAGAATATCTTCTTTTTCAAGGAAACTCCTTTTAATGGAACAATACCACCTACTTTCGCTTCTCTCGAAGGCCTGAAATATTTAGACCTTTCAAGAAATCGATTGAGTGGATCAATTCCCGATGTTATGCAAAACATCTCAATTTTAGAATATTTGAATGTTTCTTTTAATATGTTGGAAGGTGAAATACCAATAGACGGTGTCTTTGGAAATGCAAGCCAAATAGCTCTTATTGGAAACAATAAGCTTTGTGGTGGTATTTCACAACTGCATCTACCACCATGCCCTATCAAGAGTAGGAAACAAGCAAAACACCATAAATTCAAATTGATAGCAGTGATAGTTAGTGCAGTTTCTTTTCTTCTGGTACTTTTAATTGTTATAACTATCTACTGGATGAGGAAAAGAAATCAAAACAGGTCTTTTGATTCACCAACAATTGATCAGCTAGCTAAGGTTTCATACCAAGACTTGCATCGAGGAGCTAATGGTTTCTCGGCTGAAAACTTGATCGGATCAGGAAGTTTTGGTTCTGTGTATAAAGGAAATCTTGTGTCGGAAGATAATGTTGTTGCTGTAAAGGTGCTGAACCTCCAAAAGAAGGGAGCTCACAAGAGTTTCATCGTTGAATGTAATGCACTCAAAAACATAAGACATCAAAATTTAGTCAAGATTTTAACATGTTGTGTCAGTACGGATTACAAAGGTCAAGAGTTTAAAGCTCTAGGTTTTTATTACATGAAAAATGGAAGCTTAGAACAATGGTTGCATCCCGAGATTTTAAATGCTGAGCATCTAACGACATTGAACCTTGGTCATAGATTAAACATCATTATCGATGTTGCATCTGCATTACAATATCTTCATCAAGAATGTGAGCAAGTGGTCATTCATTCTGATCTAAAGCCAAGCAATGTCCTTCTTGATGATGACATGGTTGCTCTTGTGAGTGATTTTGGCATAGCAAGGCAGTACCTCTCATAAGAATACTAGTACAATTGGAATAAAAGGAACTGTTGGTTATACTCCTCCAGGTATGTTCTAAACTTTTGAATCGTCCGTTTTTTCTTTAAATTCTCCACTGTTTTTATGTAGATTTTATATTTTACAAATTACATAGGGTTAACATCTTTTGCTACATATTTTAGAATATGGAATGGGTTCTGAAGTGTCCACATGCAGTGACATGTATAGCTTTGGAACTCTTCTGTTAGAAGTTCTCACTGGTAGAAGACCCACGGATGAAGCTTTTGAAAATGGTCAAAATCTACATAACTTTGTTGCAATATCATTTCCTGATAATCTTATAGAAATTTTGGACTCACGTCTTGTACCTAGATATGGAGAAGTAGAAATGAAAGATGCAAATCGTGAGAATCTTGCTCCAAAGGAAGAGGAGGGCTTAGTTTCACTTTTTAGGATTGGACTTGTTCAATGGAACCACCGAAAGAAAGAATGAATATTGTTGATGTTACTAGAGAGCTTAGCATAATCAAAAAAGAGTGGTATTGTGGATTTAGGTTGCACTTGACACGTGACCCCAAACAAAGATTTGTTAGAGGAACTATGTGATCAAGATGGTGGATCTGTATTGCTTGGAAACAATAAAGCCTGTAAAAAAGTGTTGGATTTGTGAGATTCAAGCTCCACGATGATTCAATAAGGTTGTTGACTGAAGTTAGGTATATACTTTTCAGATTGACATTAAATGATTCAATTGAGATATTGCGATTGTAAGTGATTGGAGGCTTGACTGTGAAGAACTTTCTGAAATAAAAATGGATTTTATACTCCAAATGGAAAGTGATTGGAGAGTATGGAAACCATCAAGTGGAAATGATGCAAGTGCATCACAGCTGTTCCACATACAAATTTTGAAATGTTTCAAGTGGAAATGATGCAAGTGCATCTATTCCACATACAAAGATTCACAAGTGATGTATAATTTTGAAATGTTTCAAAAGACAGGAAGTTATATAACTTCCTACCCCTTTCAATATACGTGACTGCTGTGAAGTGGGTAGACCACTTGTGAGAAATGTAGTGAGAGATTGAATATTGCAGAGCGTCAAACGAGAAGACAAATACTATTAGAGGTTGTTTTAGAAATAAACATTGGGTAACTTTTAACAGCTGCATGTTGCAAAGGAAAGTCGGTCTCAAACATTAATTGTGGACTGCTTTGAGCATACGCTTTAAACCTTGGGTAACTTTCAGAATTAATGTTCAAAGTAGTCCACAATTAATGTTTGAGACCGACTCTCCCTTGCAACATGCAGCTGCTGAAAGTTATCCAATGTTTATTTCTAAAACGATCTCTAGTAGTATTTGTCTTACTTGCTTGACGCTCTGCAATATTCAATCTCTCACTACATTTCCCACAAGTGGTCTACCCACTTCATTGCAGTCACTGTATATTAAAGGGGTAGGAAGTTATCCTTCATGTCTTTCGAAACATTTCAAAATTACACATCACTTGTGGATCTTTGTATGTGGAATAGCTGTGATGCACTTGCATCATTTCCACTTAATGGTTTCTCTGCTCTCCAATCACTTTACAGTTGTAGGAGTATGAAATCCATTTTTATTTCAGAAAGTCCTTCACAGTCAAGCCTCCGATCACTTACAATCCTGTGCAATATCTCAATTGAATCATTTAATGTCAATCTGAAAGGTATATACCTAACTTCAGTCAACAACCTTATTGAATCATCATGGAACTTGAATCTCACAAATTCAACACTTGCAATCTTATCGGCTTTATTGTTTCCAAGCAATACAGATCCACCATCTTGATCACATAATTTCTCAAACAAGTCTTTGTTTGGAGTCATGTGCCAAGTGCAACCTAAATCCACAATTCACTCTTTTTTGTATGAATTTATGTTATTCGCATGTTTGAACGAAGCGATTAATTATTACTCTTGCCTGTGTATTGTGTCGTTTCTTCATACTTGTCTTTTCTCGGTTGACAGTATTCTTCCAAATGAAAGTTTCACCTATTATGCTTCGTAAAGCAAGAGGGGGTAGCTCGTCAGAATGGGTGGATCATGAGACGTTGGACATCGCTTATACTTTCGTCTCTGAAGGTGGTTTGCATCGAACTTTCACCGAGGTGGGTCCTTCGTCTCACCGGGGAGTGCTTGTTCTATAGGAAGACAAGAGGGTATGTAACTTGTATGATGGGTGTGACATTCCTCTTCATGAGTATTTGTTTTTTTTAATATAGGTTTTTGTCTCTCCTTCAATAATTTTGAGGTTGTCATTCTTAACCACTTGTTAATCGCCTCATTGCAATTACACCTGATGAGTTGGGCTTACGATAAAGTCTTTCAATACAGCTGCAAATATAAGAAAAATGAGCCAACCTTGGCACTCTTCTTCCATGTTTTCAAAGCTCGGCTCCTTCTGCAAAAGGCCGGAGCTTGATATCTCTTCGGCAGTGTACCAAGGTCGGGGGCTCCTGAGCGTATCACACACTAAAGTTGGATTCCTTTCTCTTGAGTTGGGTTGCGTGCCCTAAAGTGCCTATTGACATTCCCCTTTGAATAAGTAATTAAAATCTCCTTCTTTAGTAGGCTGGAATCCTTTGTGTGATGACCTTATTGAAAAGAAATGTCACAAAAAGGGGGTTGAATTGTGGCCCTTTGAAAATTTTGTTTCATTTTGTACTTTAAGAATGCAATCTCTCTAGGAATCCTTGAAGAAAAAAAATAGGTCGAATAACAATAAATAATTTGTGTAGTGTGTGAAAGAGATGATTCAATATAAGATAGAAAGTTAAGAAGAGTTTGAGAAAATATACACTCGAGAGTTATCATAATTCATCAATGTGGTTAGTTCAGTTTTCACGGTTAGTGAGATTTTTCCTTTATTGATTAATTTGTTCTGGACATGTCAAAGGTCCAACTTACTAAGGCCCAATCCATTGAATGCCCACTCTATTCGACCCGAATATTAAAATAATTCACATGCGATAAGAAGTAACACAATCTCTAATCTCCAATTTCACTATACTCATCTTGAATCTTGAACTAACTTAGGCCTCAGAGTGCTAACAATTCAGGTCCACCCCACACCACTGTAAAGGAGATCAGAGCCATCGTTCAAGACCATCATCATCATATCATCATTTTTTGTTCCTTTGTGGAGTTAGAACATCCACTTCTGGTTCCCGAACGGAACAGTGACATCGTCTATGGGACTCGATTTTTTATTTCTCCATTTTTTGCGGTTTTAGATATTGTTAAGAATTGTGGTTGGGCCTAACTCAACCCTACAAAACCGGTTGGTAAAGTGAGGATTACCCCCACTTATAAACACATGTGCATGCCATATATTGTCCGATGTGGGACTCTTAACACACCCCCTCACGCTCAGGACTGGACAACTGAAGCGTGGAAATAAATGGTGGGTGGCCCGATAGCGGAAACCATAGAAGGTGGCCCACCGGATCTTAAACGAGGCTCTGATACCATGTTAACACCTTCTATTCAGAACCCTACGCCAAGCTACGAAGATTTTCTCAGATGGTGTCAGACTAATCAGATCTCTGGTTCCACTGCTTCGGTTGCACACACTGGTAATTCATTTGTTTGCTTCTCTCAATCATTTCCTCTTGGTCCTTGGGTCCTTGACTCTGGTGCGTCTGATCATGTTACTGGTAATAAAGG